AAGCATAATTGATTCTGTAAGTTTATTTACAGCTTATCTTATGGGTTGTCCTATTCGTGGAGTGATTTTAGACCCAATAGTTGCAATGGAAATGGGCATCCAAGGGCAGGTATTTAAGTTATCATTTGTTGTTTTCGTGGACCTTCTCTTCTCTATGCTATTGGGAGCCTGCCTCCTTCACTGTGATGTGATCTATTTCACTATTCTTGAGACAACTTATCAAGATGAATATTAAAATAAGGGCTGCAGTTTTGCATGAACTAATGTTAGTATTAGAGTGACCCTTTTTTTATTTTTATTTTTTGTATCTAAGCAAACGATTCAGTGTTCTTTCTTTTAATTTTGTGTGTGTCGGATACAATGTTGTCAAGGGTGCAATATGTATGTGTGAATTTTTCTAATATATAAGTTAAGATATATAATATACTCTAAAGTGGAGTCTAGTTTATATACAAAACAAGAAACTTTGTTATTGGTCAATATGCATGATTACCTTATGGTTAATGTTTGTTGAAGGGTGATAACCATGAGGCGGCAGTTCGCCAATTTCTTTAGCTCTAGACCTCCACCTGGTTGTCCAATGAAGAAAAAATGCATGTGAAATTCAATCAGGTGGGTTTCTTTATGACTATCGTCTTACAAAAAAGTGTGCCTAGGTGCCCCAGCTGTGCGCCTGTTTGAATGGGCCTGGCCTAAAGGGTTTGAGGTGCTTTTGTTGAATAATGCTAAGGCACAGGCGCACTTAGGCTCAAACCTTGACAATACCGGTCAGATTAAGATGCATGTGTCATAGGATCAAGTCGCTTTACATTTATATGTTATACATAGAATATATTGATAACATTTGTCGGGATTCTTAATCAGGTTTGATTTTCTTAGTTCTAATATCTCAAAATCCTCTTATTTTAACTTGTCTTTTATGTTACCTTGAATTATGTATTAGTTTCACACCTGAAAAAGTAAAACTAAAAACTCTATTGCTAAGGTGGTCTAGGATGCCTGAGTGGTGAGCTGGTCATGGTCTTGTCACCAGATATTTTTGCATGAAGCTGGAGGCTAGTAGCCTTCTTGAATTAAGCATGATGTTTTCTGCAAAGCATATAACATTTTATTTACCCTTTCACGTTGTATTGGCTCCTGATAATGTACTGCTTATGTATTCCCTCTTGCTTGTCTTTGAGATGATGTTTTAAGGAATCTGGTTACTTTTTATCAACATATGACAGTGTTACTTGAATGATCCCGAATTCTGCCCATTTTTACAGGCTGGAACTCAGTTTTGGGATGAAAAAATGAATAATGAAATGGCAGAAGGACAATTGAGTGGTTCCACCTTTGACAGGTTGGTAGGACAAGTTGGTTCCCATTTTTCATATATGAAACAATTTAACATAATTTTATACGCTGTTGAAAATATTTCATATGGAATACTCTGTTCAAACCGAATTCAAACTTTAACCATGCTGTTCTCTCTTGACCTTGAAAAAGCTTTACCATGTTCTATAAAATCAAATTAGCCCTCCACTTTATTGTCGCACCAAAGGTTGGTTCTGATTGCCGCGTGACCTTTAATTCTGTGTGCTGGCACTTGCTCATGGCAGGTCATCAGCAGCTATGCAATAATATGTTTTTTCTTTTGAATGATTGTGTGTTTAATGAAGGCCTAAACCTGAAATAATTATAATGTGGAATGATTTATTGGGCAGATACTGCATGGTACTTTTTGCTGGCATTGCAGCTGAAGCTCTTGTTTATGGTGAAGCTGAGGGTGGGGAGAATGATGAGAACTTGTTTAGAAGCATCTGTGTACTTCTGCAACCCCCTCCCTCTGTAGCACAGGTACCATCTTGGCATTGGTAGTTGTCAACTTTCTGTGATATTGTTTTCGAGATATAATATTGACCGAGTTTCCCGTTGAAGATGTCAAATCAAGCGAGATGGTCAGTGCGACAGTCTTACAATCTGCTTAAATGGCATAGACGTGCTCATAGAGCTGTTTTCAAAGCTATGGAAAGTGGCGGCAATCTTAGTGTCGTAATTAGGAAAATCGAGGAAGTCATGTCTTCCAGCAGATGAAGTATGGAAGTTGCAGGTTTACTGGTCATAAGAGGTAATGATCCTGTATTATCTATTTTTGTTGGTCATCCTCATTTTTGAGTAATATGAATACACCGGATCTCTCTTTCTTTGCCAGGGTGAACTGAAATTGGAGTTTGTGAATAAAATACATGAAGCAATACTAACCACGGTCCTTATTTTGTAATCTTGGCTCGTTCTTCCTTGTTGATGGTGGTGTTATTTTATCATGGATTTAGGTTGAAAAAGTAGTTGATGTAGGAATTTTTAGGGTCTGTGATCATTGTCAGTTGTGATCAATTGTCGACGACGGAGACCATAGTGACAATGGTTTGACAAATTAAAAAGAGAATCAATGAAAAAGTAAGGAGATTTTTTTTTCTAACTAAAGAAAATGACTTTTTTATTCATGTATATCGATAGAAGACGGTCGAGACGGGCTCAACTCGGAAAAGGTTTGTCTTTACCCAAAAATGATTTGATTTGTGCTTGTCTAAAACACTTTGGGGTGGTCCGAAAAATTCTCAAGTCTTTGAAATCTCGATGGATTTTTTATTTGTTGTTTTAGGTTGGGTACGATCGAGTACTTTAAAAGGAAACATTAGAGGTAAAATTTCTTTACAATAAGAATAAAAGTCAAAATAATTATTTAATAAATCTTCAAAAATATATCTCGAGAAGAAGATGAAAACTTGGGGGCATGAAAATGAATTATTATTGTCATATCTTAGACCCGGTTTGGACGTTATGTTCAAATCTAGACGGTTACATATCGTGTTCAGAAATTTTTTTCACATTTAAAATAACGTTAAAATTCATATAACAGTATAATATGAAATTAGTCATAAGAAAGATTCATACGATAATATATATATCATAAAATTGTACAAAACATATACATAACAAAATATTGTAATATCGATATATCGAGACAGTAATAAAAATATGTGGCACCAAAATATAACAAAAAGACATAGAAATATATAGTGGTATAAAAATAAGAGAAGTCAGTCTATTTGATGCCAAGTCTGTTATCATATGAAAATGTTAAAATTTACAAAATGAGTTAAAAAAAAATCAGTTTACTCCTTACAATGTATAAAAATATACATATAAAATACTTTAGTAAAATCAATTTATCAAACATGAACATTACACCCATCCGTTCACCAAAATGTGTAGATTCCCCAGAATTATACACCCATTTGTACACGATAAGGGCATTCTACACACAACATAAAGACCTGCAGTAAGGACTTATCCTGAGCACAAAATAGAAGAGCCTACGATAAGGTCTTACAAGTCATAGACTAGGCCTGATAAATTCCTCCAATAATACTCCAATGACAGTAATAAACATATATGTATTCGAGTGAAAACGATAGTTTAATTCATTAAAACATAAAAATATTCCAAACTCAGAAATCAGATACAAAAAATATAGAAATCAGATATCATATCAGAAATGTACAGTAAATCTGATATCAGATAAACAACATTAAGAAAGTTAGGTAAAAATATTCAGTATTATCATAAATCTAAAACAGTTTAGATGAATAACATAAAATAGTAATGTAACATCATCAGGAAATACACTTGTACCGGTCTGAGTAGTCTAATAAGAAACCCTACTATTGATTCTGCCGACCACGATCATCGACAGCGCTAGACCCTATGAATCAGAAAAAACCATATCATAATCCTATTATTAATAATAATAATCCCTATTTAAACAATTTACAGATACCTACGAGTAATTCTCGAGGAACGCAGATCGTGCGGATCTGACGAACGGGAAGCACCGGATCTAATCGACCCTCGGTCGGGTGAAATACGAGTACCTTCATAAAAAATATATTATCGAATTAATTCTATAATCAAATCTCAAATAAATAAGCAAAAATTTTAAAAAATACTAAGCATTTTTGGATTAACAGGCTCGATTTAGAGCTTTTGGGCTAGAATTTGGCAAAACGGATCGGTCAACGATTTTCGAAAAAATTCAACGCCGATCAACAGTTAACAGTCGGTCAATGGTCAACGATTGACTAGTTCGGGTCGGGTAGGGTTGGACACGGGTCAGGTCAGTCGGCCCATTATCAAGCAGGCCCAACAGGCAGTGGAATTTCCCCACGCGCAAGGGTGACGCGTGCGGAGGCTTTGAAAGTTAGAAAAATTACGAAAAAATTCCTACTTGCATTTTGAGGGGTTTTGAGAGATTTACCAAGCTCGGTTCACAGGGTGAACAGTAAAGAACTCGATTTCGAAATGTTGGAAACTTGACCTTTCTCACCCCTTCACACGCCGGTTGCAACAAAAACAAGGTGGACACCGGTGTATTCGGGACGACGCAAGAAATACGATGGTATAAGAGGTGTAAAAAACAGAGTAACGGTCGAAGATAAAATGTCGATCAAAGGTTTCCTTCTATAAGAGGATAGGTTGAAAAGAGGGAGAAAAAGATGGTCCGGAAAGTTTCTGGTTTTAAACCCAAAAAATGGTATAATTACACTATAAGTCCTCTAATTTTAGTTTTTTTTTTGAATTCAAATTTAATCAAAATTTCACTTTGACCTTTAAATTTAGTTAAAATTTTAATTTAGTCTTCGAAAATAAATTTAGAAAATTTTATACCCTAATTTGGGGTGTGATAATTATGATTCAAGAGTGGTAAAGGTACCCTCCATGACTCCAATTTGTGAGTGAATCAAGACGTAAAAATCAAAGTAGATTTGAGGATAAAGATTTTCTATGCATCTTTACATCATCATTAGTATGTATGTATGTATACAAATAAAATTTCAGGATAGATATAATAAATAAAAAAATAATTAATACCAAAGAGTTTCAAAATCTAATGCCCACCCTCAGCAACATGTAGATCTGCCGGTGGGCGTAGGGACTTCTGTTTTGGCAACCCCTCAGTCTTGGTGCTTCTCCTATTGTAAAATAGTTTATCAGCAAGTACAGAACCTTATTGTGGCGTTGGGCGGAAATTCTATCATGATACTACCCAGTTTTCTCATAAATATTTGATTTTATCTGGTCATTGTATTTAAAATTCTGAGGAAAGAACAAGAACAAAAACAAAGTGATATACTCATTGTCCTCCATGTTTTTGTCTCATCTAGGATCTAACATAGAAATCGTAACTTCATTCTTAGTGAATCGATCTGAATTGTGATTCGAAGACAGCGATGCCTCTGGCTGCACCGTATTGGCAGGGATCATAAAAGCAGGCGTTGACGGCACCGGCATCGACACAGAAGTATCGCTAAGCATAAGAACAACCGAGTTCATGGATGGTCTATTTGCATCATTTTCTTGGACACACAGCAACCCAATATGAACGCTTCTCGTCATTTCGCTTCTTGATCCAGAACCCCTCGAATACTCATCCACTAGGTTTAAACTGGTCCCTTCCCTCCAATTTCTCCAGGCCTGCAAATTGAGGAATGATCAGCAGCAACATATATGTGCAGCGGGAAATAATTAAATGTTAATGTTTTTAACTTACATAGGTAAGAAGATCGGCACCATTGTTACGGAAATGACTGATTTTGTCACCACTGATGATTTCCAAAATCAGTACACCAAAACTGTAAACATCGGATTTAACCGAAAACTTCCCATGTTTCACGTATTCGGGAGCCATGTATCCACTGCATACAATATAACAGGTTAACCAATTTCAAAAGGAATGCCAAATTTTTATCCGGGATTCTAACAATGAACTTACTATGTTCCTGCAACTCTTCTAGTATCATCTCTAGTTTGGTCAGCTCCGAACAACCTTGCCATTCCGAAATCTGAGATTTTCGGAGCCATTTCGTCGTCTAATAGAATGTTCGCAGCCTTTAGATCACGATGAATTATTCGGTACCGAGAATCTTCTTGAAGGTAAAGTAGGCCTCGAGCTATTCCTATTATGATTTTGTATCTCGTGTTCCAATCTAATCGTTGACGTTTGATTGGATCTAAGAGTTCAGTAAATAATGTGAACAGAGAGTACAAATTGACATGAATTGATAAATGCTGGAGTACTGAAATGAAATTGCAGAAAGTATTACCAAATAGAAACTGGTCGAGGCTTGAGTTAGGCACATACTCGAATATAAGAAGCCTTTCTTTTCTTTCCAAGCAAAACCCTTTAAGCCTAACCAAGTTCCTATGTTGAAGCCTTGCCATTACCATAACTTCATTCTTGAATTCCTCGTCTCCATGTCCGGACACAAGAAATAGTCTTTTTACAGCTATCTCTTGTCCGTCATCAAGCCGTCCCTGTAATAATTTTAACAGAATATGAAGGCCAAAACAGATAATATGCTATGTTTCAATCTGTCTTGACCAAACATTTTCTTTGAAAATGTGTTATAATATACATGTAGGTACCTTGTAAACAGCACCAAATCCACCTTGGCCAAGCATGTTGTCCTCTGAGAAATTGTTTGTAGCCTTTCTAACAGATTTCAACTGAAATTGCAGTGATTCCAATGATTCCATGCCATCTTCGTTGTCTGCAGTTTAAAGTAACATTTAATAACAATCCATATTTGAATTAACACCGTGAAAATAGATTTCAGTTCGCACCATGATAATGAACTTACTATTCATCTCTTGCTTTGCCTTCTTCCTTTTTCTTAGAAGGATGCAAATGAAGGCAACTATTGCGACTAAAACCATGACCGGCACGACGATTATCGTGACAGTTCCAGATGAAATTCCTTTCTTATTGTCTGCACAAGCAAGAAAAGTGTTCAGTAACATTAGAATGCAATATGAAAGTTATCATACCTAAAAGGCCATGCCCTTTAGACTTGACCTTTTATCGTTTCTGATGTTTTGTTAGTTGAAGAATCTGCAGGCGAATCACTAGGTGAAGGCGAAAGCGATATCTGGACGGTATCTGCAGTAGGTGTAAAGAATGTATACAGATCCCACCGCATACGACAACTCGGTGTTTCGACGTAACCTCCTTGATAACCACGGCAACATGCTGTGTACCGACGAACCAATGTCCTTAAGCAAGTTAAGCAATCACTCTGGGACAAATCTGGAGGGCACTGCATTAGTGCTTGAATTTCCTCAGCCACGCCAGTTGCATACTTAAGCCTCGAAGACCCCATGGAAGCTTTTGTTGCTACTGCCTCCATCAGTTCTCCCCAAATCTGGTAAAACAGTGTTAAATTCGATGTGGCATCACTAATGGCATTGGGGTTAATTGCTTCCTGTATAGGTTCCAACACTAACACCCCGAAGAAAGACTCGTTCGAATATCGAACTAAGCACGGAATACCGCCATCCCACGAGAATGCAGCCTTCTGATTCTTACAGCTTGATATCAACTGATGAGCAGTGAAGTTGACATAGGTGAAACAATCTTGTTCATCTAAATCCCCTCTGCAAAGTGCTTGAGCATACACTCTGTCCGGTCCTTGGCCGATGGAAGCATTGAAGAAACCGCCATTTATCGATACATTAGCCGGAATCGAAGTGAGGATGTCATCACGGTTCCGACCGAATCGACTGTTAGTGGTGAAGTTACCGGTGTCCAAGCAGGTTTGTGCACTCGTAAGACGAAAACTGAAAACAAGGAGGCAGCAAACCAGAACCAGCTGCTTGGCATCCATCATTTGCTGATAAAAGATCATTTTCAGCCAGCAAAGAGCTTATAAAATATCATCGTGGACGGCTTGCCATGTGAAAACACTTGGTTCAACTCTGAACATCAAATATATAATAATAACAAGAAGGGAAAATTGAGCGTGTTTTCATTGACTTTGTTCAAGAAAAACGAAAAGAGAAAGCGAGTGAACTTCAAGAAACCTACATATATATCCTTCATGGGACTCATATATGCTTATTTTATGGACGAATATAATAATCATTTACACACAAAAAAACAAAGATTATATTTGTGGAAAAATATCTTATTTGTTTCTTTTAATTTTAAGGAGATGTATTAAAATGTGTGTAAGCAAGTGGAGTGGAGGAAACAAATAGAATAATCTGCTGTGTGGTCTGGTTTTCCCTGTACGCCAATCAAAATAGTTGGGCGCTAATGGCTTTTTAGAATCCAAAGATTTGTACTATATTTAAGTGGGATGGCAGGGGAGAATTTAGAAGACTAGTAGGGGATCGATCTACTAAAATTTGTCAAATTACATTTTAATCCTTTAAGTTTTCTAAATTTTAATTTAATCCTTATAATTAATATAAAAAACGTGACAATTTAGTTTCTCAACACTCCAATTTTTTTTAACAATCTAGAGTGATCATAAGGTAGCATCTGTTCATAATTTTTTTTAGTCATTGATAATGTACATACCCGCAACTGTTCAAACTTAAAAATTTTAGGGAGAATAACATTTCCTTTTATTGCTCAATGAATTAAATATTTAAATTATTTAGAAATGCCACTTGTACTCTTTTTTATAAAATTTTATCCTTTAAAGCTTTGGCAATGTTATTGGTAGATACGCAACTCAGTTGCCAAAAACGTGTGTTTTTTTTTCAGGGAAGTTAGTGGGTTGTTTGTTAATTTGGTTGACTATTCTAAGATGCATTCTTTTAAGAAAAGATGGCGCGGCTTCTCAAAGTTCGTCTGTCAACATTATATATTGTAAAATGAATTTAAATTGATCCTAATCCGATTGATGGAAAAACTCAAATGACCTAAGCTTTTTCTTATTTGATGTCTAATCTGCAAGAGACTCAAGTTGGTGAGCAAATCATTTTGATTTGCAAAACGTTAAAAATTAATCGATATAATATAAAGTTTATTTCAATACCACTATGACTTTATCTGATTAAGTGAATTTCTTATTTAATATTATTTTATTATCAATTTCATAATATATATTTTATCGGATAATTTTTAAACGTCGGTTTATATATCGAAGGTTATAAATAACACTTAGGGTGCGTTTGGTTCACGAAATGTAAAATTACCAGTGCGAATAAAAGATTACCAGGGAATAGGATTACTGGGAATGTTGTATTTTGTATTTGGTTGGTTTAGCAGGAATGTAAGATTACCGTGTTTGGTTAAAGGAATAAAAGATTATTGGAATGTATATTTGACCAAATTGTCCTTATTATATATTTGTATAATATTACAAATTGTAAAATATTTATATATATTTTTTAAAAAAATTAAATTCATAATATTTATATTTTTTTTACAAAATTAAAAATATAAAAAAGTTTAATGAAAGATTAAATTTTTTTTAACCCCTGAACTTCATATAAAATTTTAATTATAGAATTTTTTTGTAAATCTAAAATAATTTAAGGATAAATTTGTAATTTAACCTTCGTAAAATTTTTATTATTCAATGATAGAAGAAATATATTTTTGAAAAAAAAAATTTAAGGGCATTTTAGTCCAAAACGTCGGTAATGTTACAATACCTAAGGGAAGGGAGGTAATGACATTCCCGGTAATATACCCCAAAAAATCTACTATTGGTAATAAAACATTACCGGGAATGAGATTCCCGGCCAACCAAACATGAAAATGTGAGATTCCTATTCCATGAGAATCCCACAATCCTTGAATCAAACACCCCCTTAAAGTTATTTGAAATATACGATGGATAATAATATTTAATTCAAACTTAAAACACTTGCACTCCGACAATTTACAAATAAGAAACACAAGTTGTGGAACTTACACAATGCCTTCCAATTAAAAGCATGAAATGAAAGACCAACAAGATTGTCAAAGTTTATGCATTACTAATAAATACCCTAACTTTTAAGTCTTACTTACAAATAAACCTATCATTCCCTAATTGTATGGCTAAGGTCGTTGATTTTAATTTAATTTCCTTCGTCCATCATTCACTTAGCTTTTATTTCTTCTCTGCAGATTTGATTCTATTCATTAATCATGAAATGTGAGACTCGTTAAAAATCTCCTTAATCCTAATCCGAGAGAAAGAGTACACTACATTCGGAAAAGGAACTAACACAAAGCTCAAATTCGGTTATGTTCTTAAAACTCCCCTACAATGCTTTTGTAATTGAAGATTCTTTCAACGCCACAGAGTTACCAAATTCAGTTCTAAACATCGGGTATTTATCCACTCCTCTATCATCGTTCTCAATAAGCTTCGAATATCCTATATACATACAATCTATGAAATTTGACTGAGCGTAGAAAAACAAATTATAGCGGCTGAAAGATTCATAGATTATTACCTTCAAGAAGGAGATCAACCATGGAAGGGTATGGAGCAATATGAGTTCCTTTCAGGTCATCATTCAGTTTCGACGGCGAGACCGGACCGATATCCTCCCAACGATAATTTGATCCATCATCAGAGCAAATACGCCACTTAGACATTCCGTCAACGATAATTTCTCTTACTCAAGGAAACACATGCTCTCTTTTTATCAAATACGTTAGCTTTTTGGATTTTCCCCATTTTCAGAAGACCAAAAAAATGAAAAAGATCATTAATGATAAGAGGGATCAAACCGTGCAGTTGTGTTATAGTTCGTCGGTGAGAGGCCTGATTTGGTCGCCGGGACATACAAACGACGACGTTGGTAGGAATCGTTTGAGAGCTATTGTTGTTCCAGAGAAGAAGCTTTGAGGGAATAAGAGTTTAAATGATTTTAGGGTTCGGGTAGGAGAAAAAGAGGATTATATATTTAACATTTTACGGCGTTTATATAAAAAAATGCCACTATTGATTACACTATTGTGGCGTTTGTTAAAAAACGCCACTATTGATTAAAACTATTACGGTGTTTTTCTAAAAACGCCATTATTGATTAACACTATTACGACGTTTGTCTAAAAATGCCACTATTTATTATCACTATTGCAGCGTTTTAAGAATAAATGACACTATATGTGTAATCTATTGCGGCATTTGTGGTATAAATGCCGCTAATTTACCGATCTATTGTGGCGTTTTGGCTAAAACGCCACTATATGTTAATCTATTGCGGCGTTTATATAAACGCCGCTAATTTACCACTCTATTATGACGTTTGTTAAAAAACGCCGCAATAAACCATCCTATTACGGTGTTTTTTGTAAAAACGCCGCTATATGTCAAATCTATTACAACATTTTTACAACAAACGCCGCTAAAGTATCAATTTGTGGCACTACGATTGTAAACGCTGCTATATGTTTAACTTTTGTGGCGTTTTCTCTCCAAACGCCGCTACATATCAGTTTTGCTGTAGTGAAGTATGTCTCAATCATGCCAGTAAGGTCGACATCATTGCTTAGATAAAACCTCGTGCATGATAGTGGCAATCTATAATGTAACGAAGATACTCTTATACTACCAAGTTGAACCCTTGTTTCTATGTTGAACTTCAACTCGTCTTGTTGATTTTTTTTGGAAACAAATGGTTAACGATTTGCAATCGTAAAAAACAGTTGTACGAATAGTTGTCATGTTAGAAAAAAAACTAAAAAAAACTCAAGACTTGGAAGTGAAAGACTGAATTTGTTTTAGTTTTTATTTCTTCAAATGAGTAAAATGGCTTTAACTCACACATATTAATAGTTTCTAAATATGATTAAATTACCACTGAAAAGTTGGTGAAATGGTACAATATTTGGCCTATGTGAAATACATGTTTTTATATGCACTGTTAATGCACCACTGAATTTTTTTTTTATATGAAGTGATAATGCACCATTAAAATGTTTTTTTTATTTGAGTTGATATATCACTAAAAAGTGTTTGAAAGGGTGCATTATTTGGCCTATGAGAAATACACATTTGCCTGATATGAATTGGTTTTTTACCACTTGCACCCGTTTTTTTTTTTTTGAAAAGTTGCAATATTGTTGCATTAAATGATCTCTGAAAAGTTGTTGAAACAACGTAATAATACCTCTAAAAAGTTGTTGAAATGGTGCGATAATTTCCTCTAAAGAGATGCATTAAATGACCTCTGAGAAATGGTTGCCCAATCCACAATTACGAAGGAAGTTGAGGGATCGTCTTGAATCTAGTCGAATTCATAATGATATGAATGATCCTCCGAGAGAGCAAGGTCTGCCAAAGCTTTGTGGCCACTGCAGAGGTGAAGGCCACAATAGGAAGCACTGCCCATATCACCCAAAATATCGAGCGGGCTGATAAACCCTTCGTAAGTGTATTCCCATGTTGCATGTTGTATATTTCACATATAATTGCAAACTATAACGTTTAACTAAACTCAAATTTATACATATATTTAAAATATTTTTCAACAAAATAAATAATTTTTCCTCTTCTTCTTCCTCTCAATTTTTACATTATTATTTTTTTCTTTTTCTCATTCCTCTCGATAAGTCGTTTGCTACGTCGGCTTGGTAAGTCTTCTTCTCCTCCTCCTCCCCCCCCTTTCATCTCCTTATGTTGATCAAGAATCGACTTTATTGATCTTTCACCCACTTCTCATCTGAAGACAAGCTTGAATCTGAATCATTAGTATCAAAGTAATCAAACCCAAAATGATCTTTCAAAAATTGCCTGAAATACTCTTCCCATAAATGTATGATTTGGTTTTGTATAACTCTATCAACTAACTCAACTCCTATTTATAGTTAAAATTTGTGAAAATGAATGTTGGAACTCGTCATGTGGGCATGACGAGTTCCAACGGCTACTTTTTCGAATCTAAATGACTATATATTTTGAACCCAAAGAAGTGACGAGTT